CTACCTCATACGCCTGGATGGAGTCCTCGATAGAAGCAAGCCGGTGCCATGCGCGAGTGTTGGGCGGAAAGCGCACCAAGCAGAGCAAGACTTCGTCCTCGGGGCAAAAGAGCTGCACCAGCTTCTGATGCCACTCACACGACAAGCTTGTCCCAGCCTCTGCCCTCATCCCCTCTTGTAATGGGAACTGCTGGATCGACTGCAGGGTATTCCCCAGCTGCCTGCTTTGTCCAATGTTGGCCTGGCTAAACCTTTCCCTGTACTCAGGGCAAAAGAGGGGGCTCTCCACGGCTTGCCAACCCTGGAGACAGGCATGACAGAAGTTATGCCCACAATCTAAAATCATGGGCTGTTTAAGATTCTCTGGGCAGATGGCACCCGTGGTTTCATCCTGCAGGCATGGCACTGCCTTCTCAACAGTCATCCTGCCTACCAAAGAGAAGAGGAAGAAAAAACTTCCCAGCTCCTCCTTTCCCTGGCTTTTCTGCTTGGCCCAATTACGAGGGCTGCTCTCTCTGGCCAATGAGCATCAAGCAGTTGTCTGAATGGTCCCTTCGGTTTAGGCTGATCTTCGGAAGGAAGGGATCCTTTTCCTTGGGGCAGGTTTTCTATTGCAGATTTCCATCAGGTTGCTCCTGGGATGTGTGTGTGTGTTAGCACATCAGACGGCAGTTTGTCTGAGATTAGTGTGCTGCATCAAACCATCATGATGTTTTAGACCATGATTAACACAGACAATCCATGAACCACGGTACAACAGCCTTCTGCAGTTTGATGCCATCTAGATGTGATTCCCTGGCTAAGGTTTAATTCTGGCTTCAAGTACTCCTCTTTTGCACGTGACACTTGAAGCTGTGATTTGCTTAGCAGGAAAGGTGATCCCAATGATACTCAGGCCCTGAACCATGAAGGCCATTATTGGTGACCACCAGCACCTTGAATTGCACCCAGAAGCCAACTGGTAGCTAGTGCAGCCCTTGGGGTGGAGGTCTTGCATGGGTGCCCCAAGGCTCTCCCTTTGGGCTCTCCCTCCTTTCTTGAGCGATGCATGAATTTTATGCTGCAAAAGTTCTCCTGCAAGGGTCTCAGACCTCAGGCTTTTCTCCCACGTGCTGCCCATGAGATCTCCGGGGGCTTGTTTATACAAATTGCTGTCTAAATCCATCACAGATAGATGGCTTTTCTCCACTGCATTTCCTAGCATGAATTTTTCAAGCCGCACACTTGTATGTTTTCACTTTTCTAGACCCTCCTTGCTGGCTTTCTTCATTTTTTGGTTTCAGTTCTACATATAAGTCCAACTTGGCACCCAGCAATGCTTTTCAGCCAGGTGACATGACCTGGAGACCTTCTTGAAACACTTTCACATTTGACAGAGAGCTTAGAAGGATTTTATTCCTCTCTTGTGCTTTCCCTTCTCTCATTTGGACAGAAGATTCTTAGCTTGCCTGCCTCATCTGGGATTCCTTGCCAGTAGCTTTAGCAACCAGCTTTCTCTCCTCCCTCACCCAATTCTTGCAGGTTATTATCGCCACAAGGTGGCAACTATGTAAAAGTGAGCTCAGACGTAGTACCATGGGTCTGTCTCTCCCACTCCCTTTTTTTTAAAACCCCTCATTTATTATTACAGGTAGTCCTCATTTAGCAGCTGCTTTGTTTAGTGACCATTCACAGTTACGACAGTGATGAAAAAGTAACTTTACAACCAATCCTCACATTTACAACCTTCACAGGTCTGTAAAGCAAAGGAAAGCTGAAGTAAGATCATAAGCAGTTGCAGTTTCACTTAGCGACCGCTTTGCTTAATGACCAAGTTGCTGGTCCCAATTGTGGTCACTAAACAAGGACTACCTGTATGTGCTGGTGGCTCTATTTCAGTAAGTGGTCTGGTTTGGTAGTTGCTGTCAGACAAGGATCAGCACTCCTCTCTTCATCACTCGTTTTGCTTCTTCCAGTTTCTTCCTCCAAGTGTCTGGGTTTATGATCAGGTCTCATACTGGATAGCAGTTGCTCTTCTTCTGCTGACATAATGCCATTGTTTCTCTTTCTGTCTTTGCCTTCTTTAACTTTCTCTTTACCCTCTTTTCAGATACCTCTATGGGAACTCTCTTCTGGGTGAATACCAGATTCTTGTTTGGCAGCTCTCTTCTCCTTGTACCAGATTCCACACAGCTGCTTTCTGGTTCCTTCTTTCTCTGAACTCAACAGCTGTTATCACACTTGATGATCTCACTCTGCTCAGCTTTGTGTGGAACTGCTGAGACTTCTGGTGGGCTGGATTACTAATTACAGCTTCTTTGCACCTTTCACCTTCACTAATTATGCACCATCAAGCTGTGTCAACTCTTAGCAACCACATAGATAGGATGATCTGTCCCCAGCCTGGCTCTTCAGATCTTCCAATGGTGCACCCATCACCACTGTAATTGAGTCCATTCACATTGCTGTTATTTGTCCTTTTCTTTTCCTTCCACCTTTCCCAGCACTATGGACTTCTCAAGGGAGCTGAGCATAATGTGCCAAAATATAATTTGAACCTGGTCATTTGTGCTTCGAGTGAGAACTCTGGGTTGGTTGTTCTATGATTCGTTTGTTTTCTTGACCACCCATGGTATTCTCAGGAGTCTTCGACACCAAAGTTCAAAAGCATCAATATTGTTTCTATCCTGCTTCTTCAAAGTCCAACATTCACTTCCATAGAACGCCATACGGAAAATCCTTGACTGCACAATTCTGATCTTTGTAGACATATCACGGTATCTGAATATCTTTTCCATAGTCCTCGCTGCTACCCTACCAAGTGCTAGGCTACAATATATTTCTTGAATCACCTTCATATACACCTTCAATAATACTCTCCCCTCCATAGTTTATCCCTTTTTTTTTCCCCACCATGGAACATCTTTTGAGCTGTGAGTGCTTAGTTTCTATGGACTTTGTAGCTTCTGATTTTTTTCTTCCTTGCCTTTTCTTTCTCTTTCCTTTTTACTCAACAGCCATCTCCAACTAGTCATTGCAAGGCTCTCACAACCAGCAACGTCCTACCTATCTAATAGCAATCCCACAAGGTCTCAACTGTCCCTATTTAATACTTCTTGGCTCCACCAACCCCTGTATGAACTTGGCTCCACCAACAGGACATGAACGGCTGGCAAGAGCTGCTAACAGACGGCTAACGACTTGGTGAGAAACAGGCAGAGCCATTATAGGTCTACTGAAATAATTTTCCATTGGATTGTTCCCGGTTTTTTTTTTTTTAACTTTCTGATTCAGACTCTAGTCTTGTGATTTCCTTGTGCTCTTCCATGAAAGTATTAACCAAACTCAGCCTGTTTAGCAACCATGACTAAAATCAGCTGAGCTGCGATTTCCTGAGTTATATATTTTTACAGTTAGGATAAAGAAATAACAGACACTACCATTCAATAATCAGTTTTATTTAGAATTTGCACCTAGAATAAGTACAGGAAATTCTCTAATTTAAAATGTTATTGATTAGGCAAATCAAACAAGGGGAAAAAGTTAAGACATTAGATGACTATGTCAAGATTCTGGACTGGTCCACACAATACTTTAACTGATCATCTGGGTTGTTTAAGTTAATATGACATGCCAACCCAGCCACCTTTTTAGTTGTTCCATAAATCATAATTAGGCAAGTCATGGTTTACTGCAGTTCACACACCCAAGCAAGCCATGTAGAAACACTACTAATCCCAGTTGGGTAATGTTCATACTTCATTAAAATAAACCTATATCTTACTGTTCCAAAATTATGTTTCTGAGAACAACATGGACTCATTACTGTAAAGCAGCTCTCCTAGCACCCTCCAAATCTGCTGGATTAAAACTGCCAGAATTCCCAGCCATTGTTGCCAGATCCAGGATCTGAAGCAGGTTCAAATAGTCTGGCTATGAAATCTGCAACAAACAGGAGTGGAGGGTTTTCAGCATTCTTTAATGTTGCTAGGCTCCAATTCCAACCAACCCCAGCCGTCACAGCAAACATCTTGGAACGAGGGAGGAGCGATCTGCGTACAGAGGTCTATGCTGAGCTAAACAGCTCCTTTCTTGGGTCCCTTAAATTTTTTCCTTCCTTTTTTTTTTTGCCCATCTTCCTGATTCTAATTTTTCTACTTATCCTATTATTACATATCTGAGCTACTAGCTACCTGATTACTTCTCTCCCACTAATCATTACTCTTTATCTATTTTAAGAGGCAACCTCTGTCTCTAGGGTCTGCGTTGGCCATCTGTAATAGTTAATGTGGCAGATGGAGCAACCAGGAAGCAGGTGAGAAGTAATAATTACAAACTTATTAATTTAAATTAAATCAGACTTAGTTTTTGTCTTGGCCTGCTACTTTCTGAGTGACACTCCTAACGCCATATTCAAAGGCTAAATGCAGCGCCCAGCCCTCTAAACCAGTGTTTCTCAACCTTGGGCACTTTAAGGCTGGCTAGGGAATTCTGGGAGTTGAAGTCCACACATCTTAAAGTGGTTGAGAAACACAGCCCTAAATAGTCTGATCCGCTAGACAAGCCAACCTGCAGTGTTCATACCCATCTCACCACTCCTTCAAACATGGTATTCAAAGGCCAGATGCAGTCCCCAGCCCTCCAAACCAGTGTTTCTCAACCTTGGCCGCTTTAAGATGTGTGGACTTCAACTCCCAGAATTCCCCAGCCAGCCTTAAAGTGCCCAAGGTTGAGAAACACTGGTTTAGAGGGCTGGGCGCTGCATTTAGCCTTTGAATATGGCGTTAGGAGTGTCACTCAGAAAGTAGCAGGCCAAGACAAAAACTAAGTCTGATTTAATTTAAATTAA